GCAAATTCTTTTGGCAATCTTTTGATTTTTACATGATACAATCAGCAAAGCTCCACTTTGCAGCCTACCAAATGATCTCAATAAACATTCAAAAATCAAATCTCTTTTCTTCAGAGACGTGTGGACAAATTATCAAGCTCTTTTGTTCAAAGACATACTATTTAGCTCTTTTGTTCAGAGACGCGTGGACATGCCAAATCTCTTTTGCTTAGAGACGTGTGGGCATCCCATCGAAGCTCCATTGTTCAGAGAAGAGTGAGCATCAACAGAAGCAAAGCGCGGTCATAACATCAATAACAGTGAAACTGAAGATGGTTACAAGCAGAGTTATCTTCAACGATGTTCCCTAGGATGTGGAAGGTTGTCAGAAAACGGGATGTGACTACAAGCAGAGTTATCTTCGATCGTATTCCCTATGATGTGGAAGATGGTAACAAAACGGCATAAGATCGCTACAAGCGGAGCAATATTTGATGGTATTTCCTATGATGTGGAAGATTATCACATCAGAAATTGAAGGCAGCTACAAGCAGAGCAGTCTTCATGCGATATCCCCTAGCTTGAGGAAGATCATTAAACAAAATCGGTTACTCTAGAGGCGTGTGCTCGACAGTGCAAGATATGCGCTTCTTAACTCTTTTATCTATTGAAGTAACCCTAGTTTGCAGGTATCAGCGTTAAAAGAAAGATTTAGGATCGCTAAACGTTCTGAATCATTCTCCGTCCCTATCGATACTTTGACTTTTATTTGCAAAACTTGCGTTTCTCCAAACTCTGTCAAAGTGGGGGCTTCTTTAGGCACCCAAATGTGTCTTCCCAAAACCAAACCCAGTGATGAATACCTTTCACGTCATTTAATTATCGAACGAAGTGAAATTGTGAAAAGTCTAGTGATGTGGATGTTTTATTAAAATATCACTCTTTCTGTTTTTGAAAATATTTCTTCTTACACTCTATTTATGAATATATCCCTTCCAATTTAGTTTGGTCCTTGATAAGGGTCCAATAATAGTGTAGTTAGATTGGGCTCAAAAAGGGCATTCCAACGATATATTATAAGTCTAATTAATTCCGATGAATAATGAGGAAGTTATGGATTAAATTAATTTTGGCCTAAAATGAATTTTATATGTGGCTCAATGATCTAGAGGGGGGCCTATTAATTATTATTCCTAAAGTTATTAGGATTGATTTTAATCTTATAGAATATCTAGAAGGTTCAGGTTTAAATTCTAATGATCTTAGGATTAATAATTATATTTTAGAGAGTTTTATTTTGAATAAAATATGTGATTTTAATATGATAAACGTGGAATTATTTGCTCAATCGTATTATGAAGAGGATTCCGCATATAAAGCGTGTTTGATTTCTGACTTAGCGTAAGACGACAAGGTTGTCGCCTGGCGCGCTGACAGCTGTCGCATGGCGCTAAGCCTGTCGTCTAGCCCTAACTCCTGTTGTTAGCGACATGCGGTATTTTATTCCGAATATCACTTGATTTGTTTTCGGACTATTTTTTCTATAAATAGGGGTCGTATCTCCCTGTTTTCATTCTTTCACAATTATTATTCACAACCATCATCTCTCTCTAAAAGCTAGAAGCTTTCTTTCTCTCTATACTTTTTCTAAACCTTCTCTTACACAAAATTCCACATACATTAGTTCTAGACACACCTAGCCAAGTTCGAAGTTGCCTTCGCCCTAGTCGTGAAAGGTTTATAATTTCTGACGGTTTTGTTCCAAATCTCTATTTCAATTATTTAAATTAATTCTTTGATTTATTATTTTCCTTGAAGTTACTAACGAGTGTATTTTGTTATTAGAAAGAGATACGAGGCATCCAAGTAAGTTGTTTTAATTATTCTTTTTATATAGATAGCATGCTTTGATTATTTTGATTCCTAGTATCATGTTAGGATGTCTTTATGAGTCCTAGTATCATGTTTAGGGTAATAATTAATATTTCTAATATCATGTATGTTTTTATGATACTTCTTATTCTTTCTAATATCATGTAGTATCATGTTAGGGCTAAAGTTTTGATCTTTGTTTTTTATTGACATGCTAGGATTTGTTATTAATCTTGTTAGTATCATGCCTTCTTTATTATTATGATGATGATTGTTGTTATGTTGCTTGATATATTGTCATTGTTACTGCTTGATCACACCTTATGCATGTTTAAAGGAAATTTGTATTTGTAATCACGCTTAATGAGATAATTAATAATCTTGTTTAGGTTAATATGATTATAATTCAAGTGATCTCCAATAATAGTTTTGTTTGTGCATTAAATATTCAACCAACATAGATTAAATAGGTTTAGGGTTAATCTATTAATTGTATGTTAGTCAGAAATCGAACATGAATACGAGAAGAATAAAGTAGAGACCTATTATTAGGGCAGGTTCAATCTCTTTTGGTTGGATTTGTACCTTCATCCCCAAATATCTAGTCATGGTTCCAGACTACTATGGAGTTAACAATCTCATGGATCGTGAAGGGGTGTAACCTTCACTTTGTAAACGGTTTACAAGTTCCTAAAACTTGTTGGCGACTCTTTTGCTCTAACTTCCTTCCCTTTAGACGCCACCATGCTTAAGTGTATGACCGTAGTGGGGCTCAAGTGTGTGATGTTTGAAATATCCCCTACATACCCAAAATGTGCAATTAAAAAAAAATGGCAAACGTGACTAAGAAAAGTATCAACTAAAATAAATGGAATCAGTGGTGGAGCCAGGATTTTAACAATGGTAGGGCACCTACTACTAAAATACTTTTCTCATGCTCTTAAATTTTTTTTTCAAAAAAATAAATAAATTCAAGACACCTCTACGTACTACAATAGGACAATAAGCAAGAAAAAAAATAGACACATCTACGTACCGGAAAAAAAAAAAATCAAGACACATCTACGTACCATAATAGGACATTAAGCCAAAAAAAAAATAAAAAAATAAGGACATGAAGCATAGAATGAATAAAGAGAGGATAAACAAAATGACACTTAGAAAAAAAAAGAATTAAAAAAATAAGGATATTAAGCATAGAAAGAAAGAATAAGGAGAATATAAAAAAAATAAGGACACTAAAAAATTAAAAAATAAAAAAAAAGGGAAAAAAATAAATGTTGGGTAAGGGATTTGAACCTGTGACCTTAGGTAAACAAAGTAATGTGCTATGTTCCCAGTTTCCAACCACTAAGCTACTGGAAGTTTAACTAACATAGTACACTTTGTATTCTTTTTAAATACATTTTTAGTAACTTTTTTTTTAAGGAAAAAAATCTGGTAGGGCACGTGCCCTACCAGGACCTATAGTGGCTCCGCCACTGAATGAAATAAGTATAGATTTCCACACAAAGTGTGATGCAATTCATTTTTCCTCTTTTATTCCTTTTCCTCCATTGCTCTCTGTCCAAACATAGTCTTAAGGTTATCATATACAAGACAGAATTGCTCAAGTAAATTGACGTTTTCATTAACCCCCTCAGTGTACTACAACTAATTTTTCTAAATAACATCAGTGATCACAATCACAGAAATTCTAGTTATACGTTGGTTTGTAATTAGTTACCGAAGATTAAAATTTCTAGAGTGATAATCTTTCTTCGAGATTGAGATACGCAAGTTTTTATTCATTTATATAGTACTCCATTCGTTTCATAATGTTTGTCCGGTATACTATTTTAGGCGTTTAAAAAATATCTACCCATGTTGTGTATATTTCACTCATTATTTGATTTTTTTATAATTAATTGATTGTAGATTGGTGACATAACTTTAAGTAAGGAGATTTTTACCTTAAATTATGCAATTATCACTTGTGTTTTCTTAATAAAAATTCAAAAAAGTTAAGTAAGGTAAACTAATTACAAATTATGTTATACTTTAATGTTAGAATCCAAATATATTTATTTTCTTATTTTATGTGATTAATTCTATATGATACTAACATTATGAAACAGAGAGAGTATAAAAAAGTGAAACCAGTTTTACTATAAACTTTTTACAATTTGGTCAATTTTGTAAAACCAGATGTATCAGCCGTCATAAAATTGTGATGTGATCGATCCACTTAAGGAGGACCTTATCTAGAAATAAAGTAAGTCCTATAATAGTGATACATTTATAATTACAAAATTATAAGTTATAATCTTTTGTTACTTTCCATTATCAAGGTGGCATGTTATGTTAGTAATAATAAAACTTAAAATACCAGATGTATCAGACGACTAAATTTGAAATGGCCGGTCCACCAATGCTAGCCCGAGCCGGTTTCCACGCCCCCAAGCGACATTCTCTATCAATAAGATGAGCCAATATTTCCATACATAGCACATATATATATGGAGATAAAGGGTCTCCTTGGCGAATTCCTCGAGATGCAGTGAAATATTGAGTCGGTTCACCATTCCACAAAATGCTCAGTTTGGTCGAACTAATGCACATCATTACTAATTCAACCATGTTTTGAGGAAGTCTAAGCTCCATCAAGGATTCTCGAATGAATGACCATCTAAGCCTATCATACGCTTTTTCGAAGTCAATCTTCACTGCCATATAGCCCACTCTCCCTTGTTTCCGTCTCATGGTATGCAACATCTCTTGGACAATTATGATATTATCCGTGATTTGTCTTCTCGGCACAAAGATACATTGAGTTGGAGATATAAGATTTGGATGAATCGGCTTCAAACGGTTAACTAACACTTTAGTTACCAGTTTGTAAGTTATGTTGCACAAGCCTATGGGCCTGAATTGATTGGGCTTCTGTGGAACTTCAATTTTTGGGATCAACACCAAAAATGCTTCCGTCAAACTCTCAGGAAAAATCCGACCCATTAAAATGTCCAAGGTTGCTTGGATTACACTTGGACTGACTTGGGCCCAAAATTTTTGGTAGAAAATGGGTTAAAACCCGTCTGGGCCTGGGGCCTTATACGGGTCCATACCATCTAAAGCAGCTTGAACTTCACATGCAGCAAAAGGCCGATTAATCAGCTCCCAGTCGTCTTGGCCCATTTGAGTAAAATAGTCCTTGAGCAACTGAATATGGGCTGGGCTATTATTGTCTTCTGAAAAGAGATTTTGCCAGTAATCCACCACCAAGTTTTTACTTGGGTTGGATCTGTTACCCATTCATCATTTGAATCTTTGAGAGTTTCGATCCTGTTCCTTCGTCTTCGAATGATCGTAGACAAGTGAAAAAATCTGGTATTACGATCTCCATCACAAATCGCTTCAGCATCACGCGATTTTTGGAACCAAAAAATCTCCTCTTGTTCAAGAATATCCAGCATCTCCTTCTTCAATTTTTCTTCTAACTTCAGAATATGCATTGGAGCACCCGCTTTCAAGGCTTTTTGGATACCCTCTAATCTGGCCCAAAGCTCATATTTCTTCCTAAAGATGTTATAAAAGTGTACCTTATTCCAATGGTTCAATTTTTGAGCAAATTCCTTCAAAAAGGGAAAAAGAGGAGCAGTGTTATCCCAAGAGGCAGACACAAATTCCTCGAATTTCTCTTGTTTGATCCACGCAGCTTGAAACCTAAAAGGTTTAAGGGCTGTTGGGATAGGCGCAAAAACAATGATCAGAAGTCAACTTGGTCAAATTACGAACAGCTCCTTCCGGGTAGCGAAGTCTCCACTCATCATTCACCAAAGCTCTGTCTAAGCGAGAAGCTTTAAAAATTGCTTGAGATAGGCCCCGACACCAAGTAAATTCAGGGCCTGAACAACCGAGGTCAATAAGCTGATTGTTATTAACCCAATCTGAGAACTCTTTGCACCTTCTTTCCATCTCTGAACCACCTTTGCCCAGTCTCTCCGCCATGCTCATTGTATCATTGAAATCACCCGCTAACATCCACGGTCCATTGTAAGCTAGACCAATATTTTCCAATTGTCTCCAAAGCTCATGTCTAGTTGTTGAATCTGGACTCGCATAAATTGCCGAGAACATCCATGGTTCCTCTTCCTTCTTTTTTATTCAACTGTAATGTGTTGAGATTGATTGTCTAGTACTGTGACTTCTATCAACTCTTTTCTCCAGAAAAGCCAAATTTCTCCACTGAAACCATGAGCCTCAACGCGAAATTGGCCTGAGAAGCCAATCCTGTCACATATCTTTTGCGCCTGCTCTCCAATAATATGAGTTTCGACCAGTGCTAAGATAGAGGGATCATTGTTCCTAATTAGCTCTCTCAAAACAGCTAATTTGTTCCCAATTCCTTGAACATTCCATATCATTATCTTTAATGACATATTAAACATCGGAAAATTTGGGTATCTGTCATAAACGTGCAAAGGCACATTAGGCATTAGGCTCACGAACGCTTTGCTCAAAGCTTTCATTGGGCCTGCTATTTCCATTGGGATCGCCAATGTCACTAGCATGTCTGGCGGATTGTGAGTTGGTGGCAGGAACGTGCTCAATTGGAGAAGAGCTTTGTTCGCTATTGGATGAACTATGGTAAGGGTTGGTCCGTCCATTGGATAATCCACCAGGGCTGAATACTCCGGTGGAATTTTGGTAACCAAAGTGATCGGGGGATGCAGAGGATTCATGTTCACCCAAGTTTACAGTGCGGTTTCTCAATGCCGCAGGGGTTTGGGAGGCTACACTATACTCTTGCACTGCAATTGGACTTTGAATATTCGGGGAACGTACTGGAGGAATACTATTGCTAATTCCTTTATCATTTGAGATACTAGGATCAATATTTTCCTTATTTCTCCTAGTATCCTTATATTGGAAATCTTTCGAATGAGCAATCTTATTCAAAAGTTGATCCTTGCCAATAAAAAGTTCTTCCCTTTGATTAGGCTCTGCGTTTGGAGGAAAGTTGCTTATTTCTTCCATTGAACTTCCCAAATTCACTGTTGGTACAATATCTTCATCTACTTCCATCGCATTATGGAAATTAGTTTCCAAAGGAATTTCCTTTTCACCATGATTGCTCATATCACTCAAATTAATTGCCCCTTTTAGCAGCTTGCTACCCTCCGAATTCAAAGATTTGATTTCCTTTTCCTTATTTTCCACCGTATTGTTTCTTACCATAATTTCCGCAATACTAGCCACTGATCCTTGATCTTGCTCCATCTCTAGGACATGTTCACTGTCTTGATCCTTATTCAAAATGTTGAATCTTGATTCTGAATTACCAGCCTGATTAGCAATAGCTTTGGACCTTTGAGCATTGTCTGTATTCATCTTAGCTCCTCCCACAGGTAGGCTATGCCCAGTTTTTTGTTTCATAGCATTCTTGGATGTACCAGTTCCATCTTTATTTCTTACCTTAGGTTGAGGTTTCTTAGAATTATCCACTTTCGATTTTGAATTAAACTTGCGAGTTGTCCATTGCACCAACATCCATGATCCAAATTGATCGCATTCTTCAGGCCTCACCCTTGGAGCTTGGGAAGGTATGGCTTCCTCAGTTCTGACAACTTTCTCACAATTTTCTTCTCTAGTGGCATGGACAGGGCATTCATTATCCTTGTGGCCAATTTTACCACATCTAAAGCAAATAAGTTTCAATCCTTCATATTGAATCTTCCATACTCGACCATTTAATCTAAACTTTGATAACAAAGGTTTAGAAAGATCAACTTCAATACTAAATCTGACAAATTGACCACGACTCATGGACTCAGTATTTTTATCAATACTGATAAATTTACCTATCCTTGATCCTATTCGATGAAGGAATGTCTTATCAAAATATTCCACAGATAACTGAGGAATCCTCACCCATGCCGTTAGGAATTTAATTGGAGCTTCATCCGTAATAAAGTTTAGAACCCATTTGCGAATTGTTAAATAACTATTTCCGATGATCCAAGGTCCTTGAGTTAATACAAAATTGTAATCCTCCATGTTTGTGAATCGCACTATATAGTAGGCGAATCCCACATCTGTAAGGGAGATATCTCCCTTCAAACACCATTTTAGCCTTAGTCTCTTAATAAAGACCTCATAGCTCATACGCTTGTCAAAAAGTTTGATAATCAACGCATTTTGCCAAGGTTTTCGAAGCCTCTGTTTTTCCTCCTTTGACAGGAGGAAATTGGGGCACTAATCATCATCAGATTCGCACTCAAGGGGAATGTCATCCTCCGATTCCCAATCCTCTACCATATTTCCGTAATTTTGACATTGGATGTCCAATTCATTATTACTCCTAGCCAGATGGGGGTAAGAAACCCTTGGTTGCGGCTGTAACGGCGCCGCCACTTATTCGCCTTGACCCTCCAATTGATGCATCTCAGTGTCAATTGGCCTATCCTGATAATCAGAATTCCCTATGGGAGACGATTTCGGCGTACGTTTGAATTTCTTATTGGATCTCTTCATTTGGTCAGCCTCTTCGGTAGAAAATTTTTTCTCCCTTCTCTCACTTTCGCTCATTACATACGAAGTGTAATGTTTTTTAATTAATAGATTTGAGAATTTGAGATTACGTTAGTAATAATAAAACTTAAAATACTGGTGATCATAATGGGCATCCTAAATTATAAGAATCTTAATTAGATTTAGTAATCGGCATCATATCTTTGACATCATAGAATCCAAAAGCATTCGTTTCTATGTTCTTTGACGTTACACCTTTTCGTTTCTTTATAGCTGTACTTACTAATTTCGAATGTTTGAAACATATTGAACTGCTTTTGTTCATTTTTATTAAAACAGTTTCATTTATTACATTTGTCAATGTATAAATTTAACCACTAACATATTTAATTTTTAATAAGTTAAATGAATATTATTATAAGGAGTAGAATTCATTGAAACAAATCAAACAAAATTTCACATGATTATATTTGACAATTAAAGATGAGTGTGTAAAAAAGACCAACTAACTAAAAAAAGTTACCCTACAAATTTCTGTCTTTAGAAATAGAGAGCTTCTCACTCTAGAATTAGTGTCCCCCCGCCAATTAGTTTAACTAGGGAAAGCAATCTTCATCATAACTCTTTTTTAGGTTAAGTTTTGCCTACGGTAATTCCCTTAGCCCCTTTCCCTTGTGCTTCAATCTGGTACGTCTAATTGGCGCCTTGTAGAAAGGCCAATAGTTTTTCCTTTCCACAATCATTGCCTTCTTAACGTCAGTTCTCTTTTTCTCTTATCCAGTTAACAAAAAATGGTCTTCCATTAAGTTTCCTTCTAAAGGGCCTTAACAGTGTAGTATTACTAATGGTTTTAAAAAATATTTCTCTAATGGAAGTCAACTTTAATCCTTTTTGGTTTTGTAAACCAGCCAATTAAGTACGTCAGTAATTCTCGTTAACGAAAGGTTATTTGTATGCTTTTTTCTCCAGCACCGAGATAAGAATTCGAATCGCCTCCATGTTGTGGTGGCAGTATAAATGCCTAACTATTCTCACAACCATTCCAATCACCCATCCCCACCTTCTTCCACAAAACCTTCCTTAATCTTTTGCCTTTTTCACCATGAACAATACTCCTTATGCAAACAGGAACATCAACAGGGCAGCACCTCTTGCTGAACTGGAACCAAGTAGAGTGCATGGGAGTAGGGAATTCTGGCAATTGTGTGTTTATGGATATCTAATGGATTACCGAACACTCAGCCCTGCTTCAATCCGAAACTTTGTCAATTCAAGGTGGAGGAAAAGAGGGCACATTGATGTGTTTAAAATGAACAATCTTTATGTCTTCAAATGCTCAAATGAAGAGGACAAATGAGAATAGCTGGAGATAACAAAGGCAAACTTTAATGGAGCACTAATGGTTTTTGCTCCATGGCTGCCAAACCAAGTTTCGCACACAGTAAGGTTCAGACAAGCCAAATTTTGTGTTAGCATCTGTGGTCTCCCATGTGAATATTTGAATTCACATATGGCGGAAACAGTGGGGGATATGCTGGGCATGCCTTTTGAGATCGACCTCGAACCAAGCTTTATGCCACGGAATGACTACCTTAGAATTCTCAAGATCAACCTTGGTCAACCCCTAATCCCAGGTTTCTTTCTCAAACATAATGACGACTCTGTCATTTGGATTCAACTAAGGTAAAAATATTTATTCAAATATTGCGTACGCTGTGGTAGAATTGTACATAAGTACAATAGGTGTATGAGACATGAAGATTATATTAAGCAAGATATTGATTATAAGATGATGCAATACTTATCCCGGGGAATCCCTACTCTCGAAGAAAAGGCAGGTTTTTCAATGTTCAATATGGATATGAGGGCTACACCTTCATAAGAACGAACCATAACAACTAGAGCAAAGATTATTGTGACTGATTAGCCACCCTCCCCAAATTTTAGGGCCTCATATATTATGGTTGACTTTGATTTGGGTATCCAGAACGGGAACAAAACAGTTGCTCCAAGGGACAGGTTCAATAGCGCGGGAGCACCATTTAGGGGGCTTGTGGTTAACCATGATGGAGCTATGCCGCAGGTCAACAACCAGGCCCCAAACCAACCCCCTGCTGGTGAGATGGAAGTGGAAACTAAAGGTGGTGTTCAGGTCAATCCGACGATCACAGGGGCTGAGCAGATTGGTGGTGGCTTCAACAAAAATTCCCAGGGGAGGAGTGATCGGAGGAGACCCGTACAATGCCGCAGTGGCGGCTGCTCCAGTCCAAAATGAAAATGCAGATAATTTGGATATAGAGATAATACCTAGGTATGGACCAGAAATTGAAAGCCATCGTTTTGATTTGCTTATAAATTTAGCGATTCAACCGAGGGTTGAGCTCAATGATGATATTGCTGGAAGATAGGTGGACAAGGCTGGCTATAATCAATGTGTCTTTATTGAATTCGATGCCCAAAGTTACCCAAGGGTTGTTGAAATTAGAGAACCAGACTCACCAATTTATGAGCCAATGGACTACTAAGGAGAAGAGAATTACGAAGAATTTCAAATGGGTCAAATCCCGGAGGAGCCGATGAGCCCATGGGAATAAGGAGAGCAGCAA